ACCACTAGGGGGAGCCCCGCCTCTGCATTTCAGGGGTCCCTTCTGTGGGGAGGGTGCCTTTGCATGTTGCACCTAGTGGGGGACAAAACTTAGGTTCCCAGCACACTAGCCTGCTAGACCCTGGGAGGAGGGAGAGCACCAGTAGCCAGGGAGGGATCGGGCGCCACGGAGAAGTTCACGTTGGCCCGGTGCGCGTTCAGGGGCCAGAGCAGAGTGATGTGGGCAGGAGCCGGGCCTGGCTGAGCTTTTCCAGGCATTAGGAGCTTCTGGCTCAATCAGGTGTGTTTGGGGGCAGGTGTCTTCCCCACGTAAAATGTATAATTCGAATGGTGCTGGATTATGTGTCTTTCAGCTGACGACAGCAGTGACCAGTGCCTTTTTACTCGCAAAAGTGATCCTCTCAAAGGTACAGCCTCCCACGTTTTCTTACAGTTACCATCTATAATGGTGAAGCCTCATTTTCCAGTGTGAGCTCCTGGTAACCACATTTCCCTCTCCTGGTCACGTCTGTCCTTCCAGCTTTTCTCCCAAGGGGCTTTTGGCTATGTGCTCCCCATCATTTCATTCCTCCTTGCCTGGATTGAGACGTGGTTCCTGGATTTCAAAGTCTTACCTCAAGAGGCAGAAGAGGAAAATAGTAAGTGTCCCCCAGGCTAGGCTAATGAGAGCGGCTAGGGACCAAGCTAGAAGGAAGACCTGGAAGTGCTGATTGGAACGGAGCTTAGCTTTGTGCTAAGACTTCTTTTCAGTGTAATGTTAACAGCATCTTATTGTGGCTAACCTTGCCAAGAAGCTACCAGAATTGTGACATCAGCCCCAGCATCTGCATTTCTTCTCTTCCAGGACTCCTGATAGTTCAGGATGCTTCAGAGAGGGCAGCACTTATACCTGGTGGTCTTTCAGATGGTCAGTTTTATTCTCCACCTGAATCTGAAGCAGGTAAAAAAATGTGATTATCGTTTGTGTTTTCATCCATCACTCAATAGCTCGGCCCTCCCCCCCGCTCCTTCGCTTCCTCTGCTCTCAAAACACTGAGCAGACATTAAACACAGTAGACACTGAGGATACGACAGTAACTGAGACGTGGTCTTGCTGTGGGACCCGTGGTGAGACCCAGAGTGTAAGATAAATGTACCCGAGGGCCACAGATCCTGTGACATGCGATCTGCATCTCAGAAGACAGGGGAAGGGTCTTGATGCTCTCTTATTCCCTGCACCCCCCTCACCTGACCGTCCTCCAGGACCCCCCTCTGTGAGAAGGGATCTTGGTCCACCCGGTTGCCCATGACAGAGACCAGAGCCTCCCTGTGGA